TCCATCTCATCTGGGGTCTTCCTATCCTGCGTTATCCCTCCACCTTTCCAAGCATGATGTTTTTGCCATCTTGTGTCCTGGTTCCTCCTGGCCACATGCCCGCCCAGAGTATGTGAGATGGAGCTTCAAAATTCTTGCCTCCAGGGAGCATTTTGGTTTCACCCTCTCCAGCATATACCTGTTTATTTTCTTGGCAGTCCATGGTATGCTCAAGACTCTTCTCCAGCACTATAACTCAAGGCCTCAATCCTTCTGTCAACCCTGGTCATCCAGCTCTCTGATACGTTTCAAGTAATTGCAAAGACCATGGTCTGAATCAGGTGCACCTTAGTCTCTGGGCTAACATAGTTACTCTTTAGCTCTTTGGAGAAGTCCCTGACAGCAGATTTCCCCAGTGCGGTTTCTCTTTTGATTTCCTCTCTGCTGGTGCCGAGAGTGTTGATTGTGAAGCTGAGCAAGCTGAAATAACAACCTCAGTCTCTTCTCCATCCGTCATGGTGCTGCCAGTTGGCCCAGTGGTGGGAATCTTTGTCTTCTGGATGTTGAGCGTCAATTCCTATTGAAGACTACAGTCCTTGACCTTCTGCATCAAGCGCTTCAGGTCCTCCTCTGTTTTGAAGTAAGGTTTTACATGATCACTGAAGCAAAAGATTATTTTTGAACATCACAAGTTTTGGTGAATTTAGATTCAGTGTTATGAAAATGATTTAGTATTTTATACAGATTGATCACTAGTATATTCATGGAAAGATATGAATTGGTCTTTTTTGTGTGTGTTTTGATTATGGAGGAAACAGGTCAGGTACAGTTCCTTTGATTTTTTTTTCTTTTCTTCTTTTCCAGAATAAAAAGGGTAAGGCAGACTTTGTATAACTTGGAAATTGAGACTCAAGATTTTGATCTGTATTTTCAGTGAATAAAACTAGTAATGGTAGATGCAAGCAGAGGCCAGTGATTTTTCTTGGCTTTTGGGTGTCATCATTTGGGTGAGGTTTTCTAGTAACCTGTATACAATAGAACTTGTTGAGACTGCCTTGTTCTTCCTGATATCACAGGCTTTCTGTCTTTGACAGGGTGCAGTTTTACCAGTTTTCTATTGATCTCTGATCGTGGAAAATATTTGAATTTTTCTCTCTGGTAGGTTTCTGCCGTAACCAGGTACTGGCCTTTGTAGATTTTATTGTATATGTTCCTCAAAAGGCCTTTTAAAGCTTTTATTTGAAGTAAATCACATGATATGTGACTTATACATAGAGAAAGTCACATTTTTTACACCCTCATGGCTTCTGCATTTAGACTTTTTATTGGACTTTTGCTTTCTTCTTTTTAAAAATAGATTTACTCTTTTGTAGCAATTTTTGATTTATTTAAAAATTGCCCCAAAAGTAGAGTTTCTGTATTGATCCTGCCCCTTGCACACTGTTTCTCATTATCTGGCATTCATGTGATATAATTGTTACCTTGATGAGTGAATATCGATACATTATTTTTAACTAAAGTCCAGAGAAGTCACTCTGTTGTGTAATCTTATGAGCCTTGACAAATGTATTCTCTGCATGCGCCCTTACAGCATCAAGTAAATTTGCACTGCCTTAAATATGGCTTAGGCAGTACCTGCTCATCACTTCTCTTTTCTTCTGGCCCGTAATAATTACTAATCTTTTTATTGCCTCTGTTGTTTTACTTCTTTCTGTGCTGTTGTGTGCTTGGAATCCTATCTAGCCATTTTCACACTGGCTTCTCATGTTTAGCAGTGTGTTAGCCTCCTGCTTCTTTTCCTGTATTGATGTGCCTTTCTATCACCAAAAGCACCGGTTGCTTCCAGTTTTTGGTAGTTATGGATAAGGTGGATATAAGCTTTTGTGGATTGGCTTTCATGTGAACTGCTCTTTTATCACATTTGAATATGTATCTAATAGTGTAATTGTTGGATTAAGTAGTTGCCTTTGTTTAACTTTCTAATCAGCGGCCACACTGCCATTTAACACTGACTGTACCCTTTTTGATGCTTAGCAGTTGTGATTGAGGATTCCTCACCAGGTGTACAGTTCCTCACCAGCATTTAATGGTGTGAGTGATTTGAAGGTGTTATTAGGTGTCATCAAGTCAATGACAACTCACAATGACCCTGTGAACAACAGATTTGAACCTTGTGCTGTCCTGTGTCATTTTCATATTCTTTTATATACTTGACTCCATTGTGAAAGTCACTTTGTCCCACCATCTTGTTGAGGGTCTTCCTTTCTTTCTTTGACCTTTAACCTTTCCCATCATGATGTTCTTTTACAAGGACTGGCCCCTTCTGATAAGATGCCCAGGATATGTGAGATGAGCTTTCACTATCCTTGTCTCCAAAGAGCTACGTGGTTTTACTTCCTCTAAGACAGGCTTGTGGTGTTTTGTGTTTTTTTCCAGTCATTGATTCTTCTTCTGTCACCCTTATACATGGCCAACTTTTGCATAGGAAGTCATTGAAAGGACCATGACTTGGATCAGGTGTACCTTAGTCTTTAAATTGATGTCCTTACTCTTTGTCAGTTTTAAGAAAGTCTTAACAGCAGCTTTTCCCAATGCAGCATGTCTTTTCTAGCTCTCATAGCCTTATGGTAAGGAGTTGTGCTGCCAGTCTTAAGTTCGAGTATGGTGGATATTGTGATGCTGGCACAGAAGAGGGGAGGGTTCTGATCTCTTTGTTCCTAGGGTTACTTTGAGTTGTAGGACACTGGAAAGCACCTATCAACAGCTGTTCACATTTCTTTTCCTTTTCTTATTTCCTTCTGTGAAATTGCTCTTTCTTCCATTTTTTAAAAGGCACTTAAAATTGTTTTTTCGATTGCTGTCATCTTGCAGCATTTACATTGACAGAGTATCATAGAAGTAGACCTCATGTTGGTATTGATAGTGAAATTGTTAAAGATTAGAAATGAGCTTGAGTTAGCATGTCTCAGATTTGTAGTCTGGATGCTTTTATTTGTGGGAGTGTATGAGCAATAGAGATGCATATAATTCATACAAAAATTAGAGATGCTATTGAGCATTTTTTTGTGTGGGTAGAACACAAATTAGAGGATTTGTTAAAGAATTTCAAAATGGTCATATTGGATATAGGTAAAAGTTTTTGTTATATATTAGTGTTGGAAACCAACACAGGACAAGATAGCCCATATTTCTTCTGCAGAGAGCTGGTGGCTTCGGAGTGTGTACTTTTGCATTTGTAGCACAGTACCTTAACACTAAGCCACCACATAATTTTTCATTATTTATATCTAGTAATCTATTTCACTTTGAGTTGTATTTTTCTTCTGACAGAAGTTACTGATTTGGACTAGATAAGAGAACAGAGAGTAAATAAAGATACTGCATGGTTCAAAATCAGGAACATAGTATGTCAGGGCTGTGTCCTGTGTCCATACCTTTCCAAACTATATGCAGAACAGATCTTTTGTGAGGTTAGGCTTATGAGGAGGAATGTGGCATCAGGATTGGAGGAAGACTCATCAACAGCTTACATTATGGAAATGATACAACCTTGCTTGCTGAAGTTGAGGAAGACTTAAAGCACTTGCTTCAGAAGGTCCAGGACTATAGTCTTCGATATAGATTGAAGTTCAACATCAAGAAGACAAAGATTCTCACCACTGGGCCAATTGGGAGAAGAGATTGAGGTTGTTAACAGTTACAGCTTGCTCAGCTCCACAGTCTATACTCTTGGCACTAGTAGTCAGGAAATTAAAGTTGAATTGCATTAGGTAAATCTGCTATCAGAAACCTTCCCAGAGTACTCAGAAGCAACAATAACAGTCTGGAGACTAAGATGCGTCTGATCCAGTCCATAGTCTTTGCAGTTACTTGCTATGCATAAGAGAACTGGATAATGATTAAGGATGATAGAAGAAGAATTGATGACTGAGTTGTGGTGCTGGAGAAGAGTCTTGAACATACCTTAGACTGCCAAGAAACACATAGGTCTGTCTTGGAGAGGGTGAAACCAAGTTTTTTCTTGGAGGCTAAGATTTTGAAGCTCCATCTCACATACTTTGGGCATGTGTCCAGGAAGGACCAATCCTTAGAAAAGGACATCATGCTCAGAAGAGTGGAGAGACAGCGCAGAAGAAGATGATCCCGGATGAGATGGATTGATACAGTAACAGGGGCAATGGCAGTAGGTGTTTCGGGGTCAGTGAGACTGGCTCAGGACTTTAGAGCTATTATTGTACATAGGGTCACTATGAGTCGTAGGTGACTTGATGGCATATAACAACAAAAAAACTTCAAAACACCAAAACTAGGAAATATAAAAGTGTGTGGTAAAAAAATTGCCTTACTTTGTGCTGCTTAGAGCTAATACTATTTATTAAAGGATTCTTGAGAACATTATGAATTGCATTGCCAACTGAAAGATGAGTGGTTCAAATCCATGAGCTGCTCCGGTGGAGAAAGATGAACATTCTTAGAAAGTTATAGCTTTAAATATCCCGTAGCATGTCACTGTGAGTTAGAATTGACTCTGGCAGTGGGTTTATAGTGAAGAAAAGGGACTTTAGAAATCAATATGAGAAAGTAGCTTAAAGAAATATCTCCTGAGCTAAATATGAAAATATGCTTTTTAGTTCTATTTTTTATCCCACATCTCTATTTCTTTTCGGACTTCATTGTATTATCAAATATTAGTTCAGATACGTTTGTATAATAGGGAAGTATATCTCATGCTTTCTTTAACAAGATATAAATCTTTAAATAGCATTTTCCAGAAATTATATGGATAGTATTTTTTATAGAATGTTCTTTTAAGGTTACTAAAGAGGAAAAAGGGACTTTTTTTATTATGCTTTATCACAGATATCAAGTAAACAGGAAATATCCAAGACTTTTTTCCTATTGAAAAAAATATCTGGAGAAGCACTTATAATAGAGAATTGGATTGAATTTGGTTTAAGATAAAATTTTTATTAGATTTCCTTATAGAAAATACTAATTCACTTTATTTTAACAGGTATCTGTCAGATGAAGGCATTGAAGCTTGTACAAGTTCCCTTGACAAAGTCAACATAAATGACATCATCCCCATTGCTCTCAATGTAAGTTATTTTATTAATTTGTAAACAATTTTAATGTGGAAGCTATATTCATTAAGTAATGTATTCTCACAGAATAAACTCTATAAATAATGTAGAGAATACCTTGAATTTTTATTATCTATTTGAAATTGCAGTAATCTTTGTTCAATTTGGTTATTTTAGAGCAGCTGACTATTAAAAATTATATTTAACATTTACTATATATAAGCTGATGAAAAAGAAATATGCAGTTAATACTGCTTTTTAAAAAACAATTAGAAAATCAGTTGTAGATTTTAATAATAAAACTTTATAGTAGCAGTGAAAACTGTTTTCAGTTTTTAAAATTGCCATTTACATGGAAACTTAATTGTGTTCTAGCATTTTGACAATTGAATCTATTATTTCAAAATACCTTTTCCTAATGTTCAAAGTAATACATATGTATTTGTAGAAAACTTGGGAAAATGTAGAAATGCAAAATACAGAAATGAAATCTCCCTTTACTTCATTAATTAGCATTTCTATTTTTATTAATATTTGTGAAATATTCTATTTTTGTGACTAGTTTTTCATGATCTTTTACCTTAATTGGCATTGGCTTTTGATTATTTTCTTAAAGTTTGATCCATAGATGTAAAGCACACTAATATTTCTTTTCTCATGATTACTCCTATGGGAATATTCCATTTTACCTCTTGATAACAGTTAACAGTCAAATTTGTGTATTTTAAGACATGATGAATGAAATTCTTAAGAGACTAAAATCCTAACTTTTCCATCATACCCATGCAATTTAGGTATAATGTAAAGCAAAAGTGATAAACACTGATGCCAGAAAACCTCACTGCTAAAAAACCAAACTAAAACAAACACCCTCACTGCTGCTGAGTTGATTCTGACTCGTGATGACCTACACTCAGTTTCTGAGGCTATAGTGCTTGAAGGGAAGAGGCTGCTCTTCTCATCTGTATTGTAATATTATCATTAATTATCCTAAAAAACTGGACATCTTAATGGTACAGTTTCCTTTTTATTCTGCTAGGAAGATATAATAAATACATCTAATATATATTAGATAAAATACACGTAATATGTAATAAATGTAAATCTATATCTTGTTGTGTACCATTGAGTTTAGAATGATCTCCTAGCTCATTCTCCACTGGGCTGTTTGAGGCTGTAAGTTGTACAGGAGGAGATTGCTCATCTTTCTTCCATGGAGCAGCTGGTGGATAGGAACTGGGTTGACAGTGTTGCTTCTTATCACTACGCCTTCATATAATGAATATATGAGTAATGACCACTCATATGTTTGATGATCTTCCAGAAGAATTCATAGGACTCATTATAGACTCAGGGTTAAGGTTTATTACGGAGAAATCATACACAATATAACATCTTGTTGTTGTCACGTACCATTGTATCTCCTCAAAGACATAGGAGGAAATAAAGACCAAGACAGATGTCAGAAGAGACTCTGAATATTGCACTAGAGCACCAAGAAGCCAAAGCAAAGGGAAGAAATTAAGGAGCTGAACAGAAGATTTCAAAGGGCATCTCAAGAAGACAAAACAAAGTATTATAATGAAATATGCAAAGAGCTGAAGTAAAAAAATGAAGGACAAACTCACTTTACATTTCTTAAGCTGAAGGAGCTAAAAAATAAATTCAAGCCTCAACTTGCAATACTTAAGGATACTGTGGGCTGAATATTGAATGATCTAGGAAATATCAAAAGAAGATGGAAGGAGTACATGAAATAACTATCATAAGAAGAATTGGCAGACATAGAAGAATTTCGTGAAACCACATATGATCAAGTGGCAATGGTGATGAAGGAGGAAGTTCAAGCTGCTCTGACGGAATTGGCAAAAAACAAGGCCCCAGAAATTCATGGCATGCCAATTGACATATTTCAACAACATGCTGCCAAGAATTCTGGAGGACAGTACAGCATACAGGAATAAAAAAAGACACAGAAGTGTGGAGAAATCCATATACAAGCTTTCTTATATACTATTCCTCCTGTGAAGAGACACACTGAATTTGCATTTTCTTCCAGCAATGAAAAATGCTCTGGCGTGTGTACAGTATTTCTTCCCAGGGAACCCCATTAGAAACTCACTGCCCGGGGCTTTTATTGTACTGTTTATGAAAGTACCCTCTTTCTATCGCAAAAAAAGAGTTCTAGACTCTACCGAAAAGCAGGTGTTCATCATAAAACACATTGTTCATGCAAACAGTTTATATGTGAACCGTACTTTCAGGTAGGGAATGGTTGAAGTACCAAGTTCCCAGATGTCCGCTTCAGGCCAGCATTGTAAGCAGGCTCTTCTGAAGATAATATAGCCCAGCCTGCTATGCTCTTTCTGCGTAGGGTTTTATTACATGTGTGAAAAGGAGAAATCTTCATTTTGTGTTCTGTAAAGTAGGGGAGAATAAATATATTAAGAAATGGAAATTGCAATCAAGCATGTAGTTGTGGGATATATATACTTAATTTATTCAGAAAAGAAATTAATTCAGTCTTAAATTACAGAACAGTTTTTGTCAAAACAATGACTTTATCAAACTTACTTCCATGAAGTTAGAACCAACTCAAAGCTGATCCTCCAATGAGTCTTCAAACTGTAAATTGCATGGGAGGCAATTTTCTTCATCAAATCCAATGATAGATTTCTCTCTTTGTTCATCGCATCTGCTGGTGCATTTGAACTATCAGAGTGTCATGGTCTTTGAGTTAGCAATGCAAATCTCCACAGACAGACGAGGCCACTGTTGTTGTTAGGTACCATTGCGTATAGTGACCCTGTGAACAGCCGACATGAACCCTACATTATCCTGTGGTTCTCATTTTCCTTGGAAAGGACATCGTACTTGGAAAGGTAGAGGATCAGTGAAAGAGAGGAAGAACCTCCACCAGACGGATTGGCACAGTGTTGGCAGCATTGGGGTCACAGATGATGGAGATGGCACAGAACAGGCAGGGTTCTGAGCTGTTGTTCATAGGTCACCATGAGGAGTCCTCAACTCAGTCACCAGACAGCCACCACCTGATGTGCTGGCTCAACAGCGCAGCCTCCAGAAGTCATTTTTGGTTTCTCAGCTCCACTTGTTGGTCACCTCTGCAGTCAGACTCTCGACTAGAACCAAGGTGTTGGGTTCAAAGTATTTTTATTTACTGTAAGAGGGTGCCACACTTCACAGTTGGGAATAATTTTTCTATGTTTTGTAAGAAGAATAATCAAGTTACGAGTATCTAAGTTCATGTGGTTGATTATTTACAGGTGGGAAATGAAACAAACTTTAAGATTTCCATCTCAAGTTGATTTCTACTTTACATTATGTCTACTTTACAAAAACCTTTTAGTTTTAATTAAACTCCATGTTTACTTGTAAAACCCGAGTGTGTTAGCCTTTCAGTGACTTATACCTGTGATTTTATGAACTGTCAGTTGTGTTATTGACTTAATAGTTGTTATGCCTGTTTAAGTGATAATGCAATGCACATTATTGAAGTTTTATAGAAATTAAGTGATGATGATATCCAGCGTTCACTGAATATTAATAACTCTATGCCAGTCATTGTGCTTCACATGGATTAGTATTTAGTATTTAATACTCAGAACAACCATAGCATAGGAAAGGCTCATACAAGAAGAAGGTTCTTTTTTTTGTTGTTTTTTTTACTCTTGAGTGGCTCAGAATTTCCAAGTAAAAAGCATAGAAACTGTGGCACAATTTATCATTTAAAAGACTGGAAAGGATTGGTAAGATTTATATAGTTGTTCTACTGTGTTTTAGATTGACCACATAGGTTATTTAAAATAGGATATGTAGGTATTTAAAGATGACCATTTTTTTTTGTTTCCATTTTATGTTACATACATTTTAATAATTTCATGTTTTCACCTTAGATCTAAACTAAATCTCTCCCTTATAAGTTATGTTATTAAAGCTACATAATTCTTTTCTTTTGCCCTAATTGGGCCATGAAGGAGCTCTGGTGGCGTAGTCTGCAGGGAGTTGTGCTTCTAACCCACCAGTGGCACACTTGACTGTTTACGTGTAACAGCTGCTCTGTGGGGCGGTTTTCTCCTGCATGACTTACAGCTCCTGAAAACCCACTGGAGGATCAGCTTTGAGTTGGTTCTGACTCATTAGCTTGGGGGGGGGGGGGATTGTGTACCAATGAGGGAGTTTTTCTTTTGCTTTTCAAGGAGAGGAACAAAGCAAGGGGGTGGGGGGTGGGGGGGAGGGGTTTGTGTGGGGAGAAGGGTGTAACAATGAATGAATGGAATTCCAAAATCTCTGTAGATGTTCATTGAAATGAAAAATAAACAAACTAAATTAATTTAAAAAAAGCCATTTAAGGAACAAAAAAAAAAAAAGAATTGATACTCACTCCTTGCTGCCAAGTTGTTTCAGAGGCTGAAAATCCCATAGAAGGAGATTTGCTTTCTTTCTCCCATAAACAGCTGGCGGATTTAAACTGCTTGCTTTTCAGTAGATTTCTTTAGAGTGTCACTTCCTAAAGATTATATAGTCTGTAAGAGTTCTTTTTCTTTTGCAGATTAGGTAGTTGAAGTTTTATTTTGATGTCAGAAATGTTATAACCTTGTTTATAACTTTAACTTTGTTCATGAGATATTTTCCTTTTAATGTATTGCTGAATAATATTTACTTCTAGAAGTTTTATTTATACAATAGCAATATATTATGCAGAATATATTAATCAGATTATTTTCATGTAGTCATTTGTTCAGTACCTTCTGTTTGTGAAATTGGTTTAAGGAGATTTAGAGTAAATACAGATATTTACTGTAGTGAAGTTTTCCTGTAACTTTTTTGCTTTCCAGTGGTATTAGCCCCTGGAGTATTTATACATTGTTGTTGTGTATTGTAGAGTTGGAACCAACCCGTAGCTGCCCCTCCAGCAGGTTTTCAGAGGCCGTTAATCACATGGGAGGAAATTGTCCCTCTTCCTCCCACGGAGCAGCTGGAGGCCTTGGACCCTGTGCCCTCATGATTGCAGTGCAGCTTCTTGCCACTAGGCCACCAGAGCTTGCATTTATGTATTCATTATGCATGTGTTAGGTTATGGATATCACAGCCTAGAGAATAATATATTTTCATGCATCTCCATGCCAGATTTATGTAGATTCCAATTGTAAACAATTGTTTATATGTTCAAAAGCAGTTAAAGAATATAATTTTGGACTCTGGCCAGTATTACTCTTGTTGTGCCACCGACTTACCTGCAATTCATAGTGACCCTTTGTACAACAGCCCTAAGCCCTACTCTATCCTGAACAGCCTCACTGCCTAACACACCTATCCCATTACCCGTCACTGAATCAGTCCATTTTATCGTAGGTCTTCCTCTCCTGTGTTGTCCCTCCACCTTCCCAAGGATGATGTCCATCTCTAAGGATGGATCCCTCCTTGCAACATGTCCAGAGTATGTCAAATGAAGCTTCAGAATCCTTGGCTCCAAGGAGCAGTCTGGTTTAACCTTCCCTAGGACAAACCTGTTTGTTCTAGCAGTCAATGGTATATTCAATACTCTTCTCCAACACTACAGCCAGCTCAAAGGCATCAGTTCTTGTGTCATTCCTAGTCATTGTCCAGCTCTCTGACACATAGCAAGTACTTGCAAATATTAGGTTAGATTTAATTTAAGGTTTATAATTTAAATTAATTGAATTTAATTTATATGAAATAAAATTTTTCATGTAACCAGGTAACATTGTAACCAATGTAACCAGGATTGAAACTTTTTATATTACTATTCAACTTAGTCTTACAATTTAAGCACCTTTATGTATTGAATATATTATTTGTAAGATTGATTACAGTTGTCTCTCAGTGCCCATGGGGATTGTTTTTAGGGACCCAACTTAGAGATCAAAGTCCTTGGTTGCTCAAATTTGTTTCCACCCCTCTCCCTCCCCCTCTCCAATTCTTTTTATTAGTGGTGTAATATTGTACATAATCTACACACATCCTCCTGTATACTTCAGATCATCTCTATATTACTTACACTACCTACTACAGTGCAAATGCTATAGAATAGATAGCACTTTATGCTCTCAGCCTGTGAGGGGTTGCTTTGAGCACCTACTTGAGGTTTGTGTTGGTTTTTTTTTTTCTTCCTTTGAATATTCTTCATCTGTTGTTGGTTAAATCTTTGAATGTAGAACCTGAGGGCCAATGATACATATGTGAATCATCATATAATTTATTTAATACTTATATATAAATCCTTAAGTAATTAAAATTTATTTTTACTGTGATTGTATTTTAATAATTATTTATTTATTTTAGACAGATCTGAGAACAATTGGCAAGAAATTCCTACCCAGTGACATCAATGGTGGAAAGATTGAAAAGGTAAAGAAAATCCTTAACTTTCTTAGGTAGCAAACTGCTTAAGTTATAAACCTTTATTTATGAAATGATAGGTTTTTTTATATTTAGAAAGTTTATAATTACAAAGAAATACTTTGGAGATAGACAGGTCACAGAATCATTATTATGGTGCATTGTTGTACCCATGGAAATTTGTTGATTTTGACTTTTGATCACTTCAACATTTAAGCAAACAACAGCCCAGAATTGTGTTTCAAGAATTATTAAACACTTTTTCATTTGCGACTTAGCAGATATTGTTGGAACCTCAGAAATGAACCTTTCTACATCTTCCAGTGTTTGTAACTTGTTTTCATGTATGTTTTGATGAATTTATTAATATGAAAATACAAGATTTTGAAAGATGTTTAAGGGAGACTTGGCAAAACAGTGGATTTACTTGTTACTATTTTTTGCTTGCATTACATGTATGTGTGTCCAAATTTTTTCAGTCATCTGTTTTTAAAATAAAAGGTTAATGTGTTTATTAGCAGTATTTTACTTCCTATTATTCATTTATATTTTATTCTCATTTGAAAATATATATAAATTAAATCAGCAAAGATTTTTATATGTGCTGTTAGTCACTTTTTGAGCTATTAAGCTGAGGAACAATATTAGATATAATCTGAAGATATATTTTCAGAATATATTTTGTGTTTGAAAATTTCTTTTTGGCTGAATTCGGGCTTGAATCTTGCCGGATGCTCAGAGGGTACACAGCCTGCGTCCTGGCCCAGCGGGCATGAGTTGGAATTGGAGCCAGTCCCTCCACCTGATTGCAACCAGTGTCATGTGGTTACTAATTACTCTTCATTCACCTTTTGATGCCTCCCAGAGAACAACTGCTGTGTTCTATGAAAACCCCGCTGCTGTTTCACCAACAGCCGCTGGAGGGCCCCAAACACTGCTTTGGATTTCCACAGCCTCCCAGTCACACCAGGCAGGTGCCCAGCAAGCCCTTTGACCACAGTACCATCACATCTTGGGTTCTGCCTCAATTTGATTGAAAACGGTTTCCCTGCTTACCAGAAATGTCATCATTGAGACCAAGCAAGACATTTAAGTTGGAAATATACCACCTCCATGTTTCCACATCTAACTTGTAAGAGTCCACAAACTTCTAGTTCAGCAACGTTGGCATTCCCACTAGTCAGGAATTATCCTAATTAGTCAGAAAATGACATTTCTCGAAGACTCTTGGATCCAGTGCTTAGTCCGTGAAGCTCTGGGGACCTGTCAATACACACACTTCAAAACCCAGCTTACATGTTCCTTCCACTGGATCTCCAGACCTCAGAGTCTTCTCCTGTGAGGGAGGAATTCACTTTCCAAGATCAGAGGGAAAATAGCATTCCAAGTTTATCCCTTCATTTTAGTACTTCTAAGAGCCCAGAGCCTGGGCCTATTCTGGTTAAAGACACTCCTAAGGAAAAGTGTGGGATAAAGGTCATCTGGAGAAAACATAGCCACTTGGTGGCTTGCCGCAGAGGGGCTGTGGTGATCTTGTTTAATTCTTCTGCAGATAGATTTCCAATTTTGCCAACACCATTTGTTAAAAAGGCTGTCATTTCCCCACCTAACTGATTTCATCTCCTTGTCAAAAATCAGTTGACCATAAATAGATGGGCTGATTTCCGGGTTCTCAATTCTATTCCCTTGATCTATGTGTCTGTCATTGTACCAGTACCATGCTGTCTTGACCACCACGGCAGTGTCACTGTTGGTGGGAGTGTAAAATGGTGCAACCAGTGTGGAAAGCGATGTGGCACTTTCTCAAAAAGTTGCAAATAGACATACCATTTGACCCAGCAATTCCACTACTGGGAATATATCCTAAAGAGACCATAAATGGCATCCAAGTAGATATATGCATACCCATGTTTATTGCGGCTTTGTTTACAATAGCAAGGAGTTGGAAACAACCTAAATGCCGATCAACAAACGAATGGGTAGAGAAGCTGTGGTATATTCGCACAATGGAATATTATGCTGCATTGAAAAACAAGGAACTCATGCAATATTATTCAAAATGGGTGACCCTGGAGGACATTATGCTGAGTGAGGTATCTCAGTCACAAAGGGACAAATGCTATATGGTGCCACTGTTGTAGAATGAGGCTGACATCAGGGTGGGGGTAAGACTGAGAAAAACTGGATGAATATGTTTACGGCATTGAAGTCTATGGGGGAGAGAATAGTTTTAAAAGTATTATATTTTAGGGCATTATGTTTATCGTAACAGTACGGAATGAGGGTTGCAGAGTGGATTAGATTGGGGCGCTGTGGACGAAAGGGAAGCTGAGCAGAAGCCAATTCCTTGTGAAAAACAGATCAGACTTGTTCTTTATTAAGAAACTCAAGAAAGTGACTTGGTTTTTACAGAGTTGCTAGTCACTTTTCTGGCTCAGAAGAGTGTATTAATAGAACAAAATAGAAATTAGCTCCAATAGGGAAAAGATAGTTTAACTAGAGTCCTAAAATTACAAGGGAATTCAATTCCCTGGTCTGCTTTTTAAAATAGCTATTACCATAAACAGTTAATTTAATGTCAGAAACAGTTCACTAAGTATTTTTCTTATATTAGCTCTTTAATTTTTTTTTTACCAGAAAAATGTATATAGAGAAATGGTTAATAGATGAGTTTTAGCGAATCCTGCTTTTTTACTGTTAGTAATGGAATAGTGCTGCCCTGTCCACCATGGTCTTTCTGGTTTCTTTTAATTAATAGTTAATTTTTTGGCCATGTCATCCAAAAATTATTCGTTCTGCATTTCTGAGTAGCAGCTCTCTGTCTGGTGTGACCAAGGAATGGGGTGAGAAGGCACTCCTGTGACTTCTTAGGATTGAGGTACTGCCATTACAGCCTTTACTAATCTGCTGAAAGGAAGATGAGGAAAGGCAGTATGCCCATTTCAGTAAATACTGGGTGGAAGAAAGAGGTCATAGACAAACTATTTAAATTTGCTCTATTTCAACCTTTCATTCCCAGAGAAAACTAAATATATGACAAAGGTGTGTGGCAATGTTTTCCTGTAATAACTGTTTAAAATGTATGTAAATAAATGCAGAATATTTTATGGAGGGGAAAAAAGTAATTTCTTTTATCCCTTTAGTTCTCAGATATTTAAGGCATTTGTTATTTTTTATATTGTGGGAATAATTTTTAAAAAGCTATAAGGTAACAACATCTTTTTCTATTTTCTAATCTGAATCCACTTAAGAATAATATTCAGTGGTAATTAAAATGCCAGGAAATCTAAGCTACTTCAGTTTTAAGGCAAAAACTAAGATGCATGCTCTTCAGCTTCATTTCTCAGTTCATTTCATGTTTAACAACACTGTGTCTGTAAACTTTATTTCAGTCTAAAGTTTTTATGCTATAACTTAACATTAGTGATGCTTTCTTTATCCTCCCTCAGGGGAAATGGAGAACATCTGCTTACCTTCCTTTTGTGAATAATTCTTCATGTATTGAAGACTTGCAAATGTCTCCCCACAGGTTTCTTTTTGATAAAGTTATCTATTTTGATTGCATTGTTTATTTTCATTTTCAGGCTTTTTCTACATCTTCATGGGACATCTCAAAATCCCCTCTAGGTTCTTTACATCTGATCTTTAGTTATTTTGATAGAGCTTGATGTGAATCATCACCACCTAGTGCTAAATCATAGTTTGCTATGCCCTCACTCTTGTTCCTCAGAGCTTCTGATTTTGTAGGATTGAAATGTAGATTCAAGAATTATATTGACCAAGTTTCAAGAAGATATGCATGCTTCTGTTCTAGGGAGTATACTTTGAAAACCTCGTATTAGGTCATGATGTTGGACATTATAACACAGTTCTCTGTGGGAAAAGTAAGTTAAATCAAAGCAGTGTTTGTGCATCTTGATACAGGGATAGAAGAGACCATTTCTCTAGTGGAAGTTACCTCTGTTAACCTCTTGAAGGGGTCTCTTGGGAGGGCCTCACCTGTGTGTCTCGTTGCATTCTTGGAAACACAATCAATGCAAAGTACTGGAGTTTCACAACAAATTACTATCCCTTATCTTTGGAGGTGGATAGGAAGCATGGAAGTAAGGCATCGTCACACTTTTCCCCTTGAGTAACCATAAGTAAATACTCACATAGAATTATCTCAGAAAACTCAAACTCATTGCTGTCAAGTTGGATCTGATTCATAGAGACCCTTCATTGGGTTATATTAATTAAGAATTAAATCATTCCCTTTTTTGCATTTTTTAAAAATTGATTTTAATGAAAGTTTACAGAGACTTAGGGTTTTCATTCATTCATTGTTGCAGTTTTCTCCCTGCCCACCCCTCCCCCCCAATTCACTCTTTAAAATGTAAAAGAAAAATTCTTTCATTGTTATACAGTCCTTCCCTAAGTAACTCCATTTTTAACATTTGAAAGTTTGAAGTAGAAAGGAGAGCTAATGGACTTTTGCACAAGTGAGAAATATTGTAGATTTATAATTAATTAAGCCTATCATAAGCATATTAGATTTACATCTCTGTGGCCTGCAGAAGAACATTGGTGTCTAAGGTTTGAGACTATGAAGTCTTAATAAATGCTATTATTTATTATCTTGGGAGAGAACAGAATTCCAAAAGTCCAGATAACATATTATTAATATGATACCATTGTTTAAATCTTTTCCCTCTTTCTTCCAGTTAACATTATTTTGCATTTTCTCGATAATACTCATCTATAACTTGATGCAGTAGTTTCTTACAGATACTGAAAGCAAGTGGTGAATATGGAAAAATGACAGCTTTCTTGAGGCTTCTAATAAACTTAAGGTAGATTTTCACGTAGGCTATTCCTGTTTACTTCTTAGGCCATAAACATTGTGGTACAGGACGGATGGAAGATGAAGTAGCCACATTGGGGTAGCAATACCTTGTTTCTTTTCTGGGCATTTTGAAGGAGCCTTACTGTCATAGAACACAGCCTAAAGTAGCAGATGTCCGAGCAGA